GTAAATGACCGTTATGTTCGCCGATCCCGTAGTGGCTCCTAGTAATCGAGGTTCAACCTTCCTACGACAGCTTCACTCAACTCACCCAGGGATTGGAAGAATGAAACCTGTCACTGGAAGCTATGTATACTGACCGTACATTGATAAGTAAATCAAGGAACGGGTAGCTGGTGTGCACATTAATCCTCTGTCTAAATTCATGGTTGAGATATGTATTATGGTTGCTCAGCCGCGCCTACCTGGACATACTGTCCTAGATGTCAGAGGCATAGGATAGAAGAAAATTAGGAGCGACCAAACCAAGACGTGCTATTAGATTGTAAAAAGGTTAACTGCTGTACCGGTTCGTGTTGATAAATGTAAACTTCGTGGTTCAGATCCGCTGGATAATTGCGGCCAATGGTTAAAAACGCTGAGTGGCATATCTTAAAATCGTTTGTAATGGAACAGATCCATTCATCCTTGATCTCTACCTAAATGCTGGATTCCCGTGTTTTATTTCTTTCTTTGTCTCATCTTATTATCATTACTACTACCTTAATTCCGAGTCATTTGATGCTTCTCTTACTAAAGAATCTCGCCTTTCTTCACCAATGTGCTGTAACAACTTAAGCCGGTGCACACTTGTTCCGGGTCCTGGGTTGGTTATGGCTGACTGATTGTGAGTTAATTATAGTTTACTCATTGTACGAACACATTTCCTAAGATAATCCCAGTAAGATGGTAATATTCCTACACTTATTAAAAAGGTATTGAACTAAATATATAAGCAGTAAAATTGCTTTCTTAAATTTATTTGGAGATCAATTGAAATTCTCTCATAGGAACCTCAGAGTACAAATGGCATGGATTAACGTTTATTTTGATTTTAATACAGAAATCAAACGCTCCACCTCAAAATTGGCACTATGTAACTAGAGATTTTATTAATGTAAAAAAATGAGAAGCTTAAACTGTAACGTTTCTTATTAGAAACTTTAATGAACCTACATCAGTAATCCAGAATAGTTCTGAATGTGCTGATCAGCAGAAAAACTAAACAGCTAACTCAACTTAAGTAATACAACTGAAGAAAGAACTATTGGTACTTATCTCCATAAGATTTCAAACAGTTGAATTCTGTTAATATATCATTACAGAGTTAAAATGGTCACTCGCTTAAAGCAATCCAGGTGTGAAACTTGATTATGATAAAGGGACATGTTATAAAATACAAATAAAAAGATAAATTAACATCGAAACAAAATTTTTCACTTAAAATCTGTATTATGTACTCATTCATGTTGATTAATCGGTGTTTAGATCGTATATTCAACATTTTTATTATCGATAGTTTTTTACACATTTGTTAGAAAATAACAAAACAAATAATACCACAGTGATAAAATTAGACTGATTTTATATATTGGAACACAAATTATAATGAAATCTAAAGACGTTTTGACGGATTCCTAAAAAAAACAGTTTTGAGTGTAGTTAAAGTGCTTCGTTTTTTATACGTTGGACTAAAAGTCGATTAAGCTATGAATTAATACTCACTCTACACTATTTTTTAGTTAAATTTCGCATATCTAACTTGGCAAGAATTTCCTAATCGTTTAGTTGGATTTCAAGCTCGTTCACATTATTGGAATACTACAGATAACCTATGGAAATATGATGATAATCCATCGATGAAGCATTTTTCAATAGTTTTACTAAATGGGGCATTTTATCATCGGTTAGTTTGTGTTACACTTTTTTTTTATTTCTCATATAAAAAAACAAATACAGTTAAAAATAAAACAAAATATTAAAAACTAACAGACACCTTAGTATTTACAGCTTACAGTGCAAATGTTCAAGTTGCGTTCTGTGAGCAAATGACGAAAGTATTTCTCAGGATGGTGTCATCAATACAACTCTGTATGTAGCAATGCTATGTAGAGCCTGCAATTCCGCGCTTAGCCTCATCATATATCGTCTTAATTTCAAGCAAACATTGGTCATACCCGACTATTATTTTGTATCTATGTAATCAATTGGCTGGTCTCCTACAGCCTATCAAATCAATTCATCCATTATACAGCTGTACTGATTACTGCGTCTGTCAAATAGATGTGGAAAAAATACTGAATCTGATAACTGTTGTTTTGTACACATATTGGTTAAATTTTCTCACTGTTTTTAGGTAGTCAGTCAGCTACAACGTAGGACCAGGCACATATATGCATCGGTCCAAGTTGCCACACCTCAATAACACAACAAGACGGACACCGGATTCATAAAAGTAGTTAATTCAGAGGTGGTAATATATAAAAGAAAGATTGCATTAAGGATATAATACAGGAAGAAAGGAGTAGTTCGTAGAAAGAAAGGTATGAAGCGATTTTAATTTCTTAGTTTAAGGGAAGACAGAGAGTGTATACACCGACGCTATTGTGATCGATTCTGAGCCATGTCACCAAGAGTCTCCAACCATTAGGTTACGATAGTCACGCGGACCTCAACCAAGTAGTCTGCATCTACCGACATGGCTCAGACTAGAAGCTAGTGACTTCAAGCACTGATGCCACGTTTTTGTTTGACCGCCCGTAACTTTCTTCCAACCATCTCCAACACCGGTTAGCATTGCACGTCGTGGTAATCGGTGTTCGGGCATACGTAACACGTGGACCAACCATCTCAGTCGATGAAGATTCATAACCTCATTGTTTTTAAGTATCTAATGTAACAAACCTTATTTTCTTTTGTCTACGTTTTTATAGTTATTATCATCATCTGTATCAAACATTGTTGGATCGTAAACTTCATGAGATTGTCAATGTATTTAATAACTGTGAAGATATCCTTTTTAATTGTCTTATAAGTCATGTGACTAGTTTACCACCAATTAAATTATTTAGTACAAGTCATACAGAACAAAAACTATTGTCAACGAATGGAATCTTAAATTTAACTGAATTAAATACTTACCGCGAACAGCGAAGTTTATGCATACAAGCTTTTTCACAACATTTTATAAAAGTCCCATATACTGGAAAACATTCTAATCATAACAATAATCAGTATACTAGTGGAAGAGATACACCCGAATTATATTTACCACTTTACGAGAATTCGTATAGGTAAGAGAAAAATGATTTTCTTTTTCAAAGTTCGTAACTTTTTTGTCCATCTACTGAACTGATTGACTGTTTTGGGATTTCAGTTCATTGTAAGAAATATCATAGTACTCTCATTAGGCAAAATTTGATGTCATTTGTTTCAGTTCTGATTGGTTTTTACTAACCTGGATTCACGCATTAGGTAGATTATTTGACTTCATGAACAGTTTTCTCAAGTGATAAAATACACATCAATCAAATTCTATGTAAACAGAATACACCCATTAAGATATTAAATTAGTTCAGCAAAAAGTTCTCTTTTCGGCGAATTCATTTTCAAAGCTGTCCAATCGCAAATATATATATTCATTTTACAGGATGATAATAATGCAGATAATAAACTTCTCTTAGACATGGTGACAGTAAGGTAAAATAAACAAATTTTATAAAACAATGACGGTTTAATAATCGTTTGATTGTTAATGGCTTAAGTATTCATCAAAAGATAGATAGAGAACTGATCATTGGGAAAGGATGGCTCAGCATGATAGGATAAAATATAATCAGGATGATCGTAGAAACAGAAATCAACTAGTTGGGGGTAGAAGATTTAAGGGGAAGATGGAAAGTGAAGCAGATGGCTGTAAAGGAAGAGTATGACGAAAAAATTATAAGAAACTGATACCATGGTAGAAGAAAAGGTTGTACCAATCTCTTGCACATACAATTCTGGTTTTTCCAGATGTATGGCTATTGCTTCGGCAATTCAAAGATGCAATCTAATTGTCCTTGGAAGACTTCTACTTACCCTGTACACGACTTTGAACGCAGAGTACGTCTCGGTTGAGTGACCTGTGTTCAAATGGTGTTCGACTATTGAACTTCTTATTGAACCGTTTCCTCCTCTTTAGCCACACCGGGTAATGTTCTTGAATTCTTTCGGATAAAATACGCATCGAACGACCTATATACCTAACTCCATCTTCTTTGACTTCGCTATACCGATATTACACCACGAATAATTGTAAATGTTCAATCTGGAATGTCGTATTGTAGTATCACTGTATATGGTAAATTCATGTGTGGAGCGACAACGATCAACACTGAACAGTTTCGATAAGGAATATAGTACAAAGCTAGAGAAATTCATGTGTTGTATTTGTTAACAAAATCCTGACTACATTTTCTAGTAATCTTTTACTTAAATGACTTGTAAATGTTTTTTTCCCATTATTTGTAGCATATATCCTTCGATGTGAAATTTGAAATATTCATAATTCCTCAAGCTAAAAAGTTGTGACTAGAACTGAAGGCTTTGGAAACGAATAATGTAAATAATTTAAAACAACTCTGTAGATTATAATGTAATAAATAATTTTTTACTGTATATTGTCCTTTTGTGCTCAACATTTTGGTAAAAGCAATCTGATTGCGTACAGATATTTTGCAAAAATATTATGCGCTAGATATTATTTCTTCAACACAGTTTCTTATCTATGACCACATTACCTTGATTGGGACATAAAGGCCACATATTCTATGTATACATATTAATCGTTAACTTTTTCAGATAAGTGCTCATTGATTTATAAGACTTAAGTGTGAACTGAAGATACTTTTTTATTGAGGCGAAGTGAAGTTTTATACCATATTCGAGGTGTGCAATAAAAATTTAACTATTTTGACGATTTCTAAGCCGAAAGAAACTACCCATTTGAATGAGAAACCCAATTAAATGAAATATCTTTTCTGAAAACTATATATATGTATAAAAAAAATAACGAAATTCAGAATGCAAACATAAGTTGCTTATATAAACAAATTGAATATACAAGCAATATAACAGACAGGAAGTGATTATTGTCAAAACAAAATGCGTAATTTGTAATGCTGACTGTACATATCAGACATAGATCATCGTTCAATAGCTTCGTCAAATACATGATCAACATCTAGATGGAAAACTTCACTGTTGAAATGCTCTTCTTTGGTAGAAACTTTTTCATTACTACGAACAGTTGAATTGGCCACAACTGATTGTACTTTTGTCTCTAGTGTATTCGTAGTATTTTCGTTGTCTGTTAGCGGTGATTGATTGGCGGCACTATTCGGGCTGTAATTTTGGTCATCACTTACAACAGTTTTATTTCCATTCAAGATTTCCTTACCAATAGTAGACCATAATATAGGTTTGGGAGCAGGAACAGGCATTGGGATCGGTTTTTGTGAACTATTGTCCCCTTCCATCTCTTCAAATTTGTCGTGGAGCCACTTTTTCGGTTTAATTTCAGAACGAGATGATCGTGGTGAAGGAGAAGTGCGGCGAGATCGACGATCACGTTGGTAACCTGAAATAAAATGTTTATAAGATGTCATAAATGCAAAAACAATGGAAATTGTAACTAATGTTAACTTTTCCTCAGTACACTAAATTTACAGATTGCAAAGGCAAATATTCCAAACAACACTAAACTACAGCACCGTCGATTCAAAAGGAGTAAGATAATTATTACGAAATCCCCATAACTGGAATCACAACACTATATGTAGTAGAATTAATCAGTAAATGTCATAACTTGTGGCCTATGTGCCCTGTTAATGTATAACGTAACGATACTGCCAATTAGAGAGCAGTGAATTATCGATCGGACCTAGGACGCGTAAAACCCGTGAGAGCAGTCTAGAGTCCTTATCAGTCCTGCTTCCTGCCTAGCCCAGCCAGTTAAGTCCAGAACATCAATCTCAGCCTCTGCAATATGAATCATTCATTTCAAACATACTCAGTTTATATACCAACCAGACAGACCGCATCGTACCAATGAAATATGAAAAAAACATTTATATAAGATTTGGCCAAATGTGGCTATGAATGAGCGAGGTAGTGATTTGTAGACAGGGCATAACTCAAGAATGGTAAAACGTATAATAATAGTTCATAGGTCAAAATAAGGCTCATAATAAGAGGGACATGAATATGAATAGTTTAGTTATTTAACAATTATACGATAAAAATATACGTATAGTATAGGTCCATGAATGAATCCCAAAAGCTACCATTCATTACGCTTATCAGGACATAACAGTGAAGTGGGATATACTTCCGTACTTGTAACCTGTGGCAACGGCTAGGTGTTTAGATGCACCAAGAAAAAGTGTATGCTAGAAATCCTATAATTATTTTTTCAAAGTTTCAGTGATTTTCGCTAGCTCTGATTCTTCTAATTCGTATCATCTGGATATTACTGAGGCTAATAGTTCGGTGGTAGGCATGCATTTAATTTAATCGTTTATCCTTTTTTGATGCATTATTATTATCTCATGTAATTTAAGTGAAATACAACACTCATTCTACTGCCTTATTAAATGCTCATTGAAAATATATGCATGTAAAAATGCACTTATCGGGCGACTGTGTTTAAATGAAACTTACTAGAAGAGTATAAACGATCGGATTTATTATTCCATCGACGCCTCGGACCATACCCATCATCTGTTCGATCATCATGCTTCATTTAAAAAAAAACCGTTCAAGTTAATTGTAAACTTTAAGTTTAATTTAATGAAGACATTACATTACTATTACCAGACTACTATCTTTATTAGAAACAAATCTAAAAGGGATTCTATGACACAAAAATGATACGTAGGGAAAGCATGGCTACGCTACAGAGGAGGCTATTTCGAGATGACTTTGTCTCACCTCATTAGGAACAATTTATATTTCTTCTGGAACCTAATTGCAGAAATAGTGAAAAATATCAGAGTACAACAGTCAGTCAGTTACAACGTAGGACCAGGCACATATATGCATCGGTCCAAGTTGCCATACCTCATTAACACAACAAGATGAAGACCAAATTCATAGAAGCAATTAACTCAATAGTGTAATATATAAAGGAAGGATTGCATATAACGATATGGTACAGGAAGAAAGTAGTTCGTAAAAGGAAAAAATATGTAATAATTTTAGTCTCAGTTAAAGTGTATACACTTGTGCCATTGTGATCGATTCTCAGCCATGTCACCAAGAGTCTCCAACCATTAGGTTACGATAGTCACGCGGACCCCAACCAAGTAGTCTGCATCTACCGACATGGCTCAGACTAGAAGCTAGTGACTTCAAGAACTGGTACCACGTTTTGGTTTGGCCTCCCCTAACTTTCTTCTAACCATCCCCAACACCGGTCAGCATGGCGCGTCGTGGTATTCGGTGTTCAGGCATACGTAACACGTATCCCAACCATCTCAGTCGATGAAGATCCACAACCTCATCGACTGATTTACCATCATTCCCTAATAGCTTGCGTCTAACCTCGCTATTACTTATCCGGTGATCCCAGCAGACGCCAGCAATATTTCTAAAACATCTGTGGTCAAATACTAGTAGCTTACGGGTGTCTTCTACTCTTAATGGCCATGTTTCGCTGCCGTAAATTAAAACAGAACGGACTGCCGCGCAGTATACTCGTCCTTTTATTGAAAGACGGATATCTCGCCTTCACCATAGGTGACGTAAGTTGGCAAAAGCCAAACGAGCTCTTCGAATCCGTGCTGAGATTTCGTCAGACACCAACCCATTAGGGCTGATTAGACTTCCAAGATAAGTGAATTTGTCGACGCGTTCGACTACTTCACTCCCTATCTTTAGTTCAAGTGTTGACACAGACCAGTCCTGGAGCAACAACTTGCATTTAGAGGGAGAGAAGCGCATCCCAAATACTCTGGGATTGTTTCTCAGTGCTTCCAGAAGACTGCATTTTATCAGCCTCTTCACCAAACAGGACTATGTCGTCTGTGTATTCTAAGTCGATAAGTGGACCTCCTGGAAGAAGAATTCAGTCGACGAGAATGCTATTTCCATCAATAGGTCTATGATAAAGTTGAACAAAAATGGAGAAAGTGGACAGCTTTGACGGACACCACTCGAGGTTGCAAAAGCAGATGACAGTTCGCCACAAGCTCTGACTCGACTAGTAGTGTTCGAGTAAAGAGCCTTTACAAGGTTTATGTACTTCTGAGGTTGTCTTAGTATATCTACCTATCCTGAAAAGAATTTTGAATTAAAAAGTATGAGGTAATACAACTAGGATAGCTGACTACTTGTTATTCATATAGGCAAAAATGAAGACTGTTATGATCTGTACGAATACAACAAATCGTTTCTTTTTACTCACACAGAACTTGATATGAAAGATACTTATTAAGTAGAACTGTTGGTAAAGTCGGTTGACTAAACAAGAAATTCCCTTAAAACATAGTTTGAGTTTGCTTTCTCCGCTAATAATAACGAACAAGAAGGTTTGAACCACATAATTAAATTCCAATTTATTCAATAAGTAAAGCGAATCAAAGGACAGATAAACAAATACTAGTATTTGGTTGCAGTTTTCAAACAAAGATTATTTCACAGAAATCACGAACCGATTCAAGTGAGAGAATCATTGAAAGCCTATGAATACTGGACGACTGTTCTCCTAGTACGGGACTCCTCAGTAATGAGCACCCAAAACCGGAACTTGAACGTGACCCGTGGTCTCGCGCGGGAACGTCTAACGTTTAGACCACTGAGCCGGCAATCTATGGTGTACAACTCTGAATTCAACCTTTTCTACGGTGGTGCGCGACATCTTCAGTTGTGATTTCAATGAAATCCAACATCTCCCACAACCCATACTGATAAGGATTATTAAGAGACAACGAAAGGTCGAACAATAAATTCAGCAGAAAACTTCATCACAGCTTTTCTTTAGGGGTAGGAAAATTAAACTGTTCGTTTCATTCAACTGGTTTCTAATAATTGGGCTGCTCAATTCGATTCGCTTGTCTGACGGATCGTAGAAGACTTAAGATGGTTTGTTTTGGTATATGCTGTTTGAGGGGTGTTGAATGTATAAACATGTCGCTTTATATGTTTTTTTTCTTGCCATATAAGACAGTTCGCTTAGAATTTATTTACCTTCTTACGCCATCAATTCCTTAATGTGCTCGAATGTTGATTTGTTACTACCCAACTGTCTGTTTTTTTCTAATTACACTTTAGGAAAAACTAGGTTATCTACAGAATCAACGAATTAAAGCTGAAGACATTTTAACGTGAGGCCTAAAAATTGAAAAATATTTGATTAACAAAACAAATGATAGACAGTGAAAACTCACAAGATAATAAGAATGTCCTTTCGGAGTTTCTGAAGGATCCAACGGATAAGCTTTTGGGAAAAAAATATTTTAATATTCGTACATATACATGTATATGCAAGATTTTGGCGGCTACTAGTGTTCACAACAATTACGCTGTGATTTGCATTTTCAAAAACAGAAAATTTATACTTGAATATATCTAAATTACATTTGAAGGAATGTGTAACTCATCTAACAAGTAAAGACATGTAACTGAGTTTGAGCCACACTACTTTTATCAATCATAATCACCGTGGAGTCTGGGAAATGTGTGCATTAACCTTAGTTTCCATATCAAATAAGCACGAGACGAATCGCAGATGAGTCAAAATAATGCTACTCATGTGATGCCTAATAAAATGAATTTGTTTCCGAAAAAAGGGTGAATCAGTTTGGAACCTGCAACCTGGTCGCTGGAGTTGCTTAAATATCAAGCCACCGCTTTTACGGACTAGATTAAAATTCTTCTGAAGCTTGCAAGCATACTGGGATAATAGCTTATTTAAGGGAATTTTAAATGACTAGTTCTCAACTATCTTATGGATAATTTGCTACACAAAGAAATTCAATTCCAACATTTAAGACGAGATTTGACGCGACAAACGATAATGGTTGTCAGAAGATTATTCAGGTTACGATAGTCACGCGGACCCCAACCAAGTAGTCTGCATCTACCAACATGGCTCAGACTAGAAGTTAGTGACTTCAGGCACTGATGCCACGTTTTGGTTTGGCCGCCCCTAACTTTCTTCCAACCATCCCCAACACCGGTCAGCATGGCGCGTCGTGGTATTCGGTGTTCAGGCATACGTAACACGTATCCCAACCATCTCAGTCGATGAAGATTCACAACCTCATCAACTGATTTACCAACATTCCCTAACACCCTGCGTCGGACCTCACTATTACTTACCTGGTGATCCCAACAGATGCGAGCAATATTTCAACGGCATCTGTGGTCAAATACTAGTAGCTTACGAGTGTCTTCTACTCTTAATGGCCATGTTTCGCTGCCGTAAAGTAGAACAGAATGAACTGCTGCTCAGTATACTCGTCCTTTTATTGAAAGACGGATATCTCGCCTTCACCATAGGTGACGTAAGTTGGCAAAAGCCAAACGAGCTTTTCGAATCCGTGCTGAGATTTCGTCAGACACCAACCCATTAGGGCTGATCAGACTTCCAAGATAAGTGAATTTGTCGACGCGTTCGACTACTTCACTCCCTATCTTTAGTTCAAGTGTTGACACAGACCAGTCCTGGAGCAACAACTTGCATTTAGAGGGAGAGAAGCGCATCCCAAATACTCTGGGATTGTTTCTCAGTGCTTCCAGAAGACTGCATTTTATCAGCCTCTTCACCAAACAGGACTATGTCGTCTGTGTATTCTAAGTCGATAAGTGGACCTCCTGGAAGAAGAATTCAGTCGACGAGAATGCTATTTCCATCAATAGGTCTATGATAAAGTTGAACAAAAATGGAGAAAGTGGACAGCTTTGACGGACACCACTCGAGGTTGCAAAAGCAGATGACAGTTCGCCACAAGCTCTGACTCGACTAGTAGTGTTCAAGTGAAGAATCTTCACGAGGCTTATGTACATCTAAGAATCGCCTTACAACGATAGAAACTGTCACAGAATCTCGCGGTCTACAGAGTCAAATTCTGCTTTTAATTCAAGAAAGATCACCATTGTCGGACGCCGATAAGTATGCCTATGTTCTAGAACCTGACGATCGGTGAATATGTGGTCGATGCAGCCACGACCACGTCTGAAGCCAGCTTGATTCTCGTGTTTGCAGTTCACGAGTCTAAGTTAGGCATCCGATAATTATCGAGGCTAGTATTATAGATATTATATTAGTCAAACTAATCCCTCTATGGTTATCACAGGATGATTTTGACCCTTTCTTATATATTGGGACGATAAGTGATTGTGAACAGTCAGATGGAATAACGTCTAACTCTCAGATCTTGGCTAAAATATTAGTCAACCTAATCGCTAAAATTGGACCACCTTCCTTAAAGACCTCCGGAGCCAATCCATCTGGACCAGCTGCTCTTCCTCGTTTCAGATTAACTATAGCCTTATGAACTTCAGCACGAGTTGGGGGACCTACTTCAATGTTCCATTCACACTGTCTGGGGATGGAGGGTAGTTGTAGAGTAGTTGAAGGCCAGCTGAACTGTTCTCTGAAATGTTCCGCCCATCGTTCTAAACGTCTGGACTGGGAGCAGATGAGGGTGTCGTCTTTTCCAGAAATAGTCTCACTTACACTTGACTTATTGATTCCAGTTTCTTTTATTAGTCTGTAAAGCTGTCTTGTGTTCCCTATAGTAGCCGCCTTTTCCATTTCTTTTGCTTTCGTTGCCCATCACTGCTCACGGTCGTTCTTTAGACTTTTGCTTAACCTAGATCTGATTTGTTGTCGCTCTTTATCGTGTTCAAAGCCTGATGGGATGAGTTTACGAGAATCCATCAATGCAATAGACCTAGAGGAAATCCATTGGTTCTTTGTAACCCTGTGGTTTAAATCACTGATAGATTTCATTGCTGTTTCCACAGCTGTTTGTATAGCTTTCCAAGCAACATCTGGGTCAGCCTCGTTTTCAGAACTACCTAATCGTGACCTCAGTTGTTCCTGGAACCTACTTTTGGTTTTCTCGTTACTCAACTCAGTTCTAATGGGTCTTTTTAATGTGGCTTTTTTGCGTCCAGTGAGGCGCAAGCAGATGCGTGCCCGTATTAGGGCATGGTCGGAGTCCAAGCAGGTACTCCAGAATGAGCGACAATCTTCTTTCGACCCTCTCCAACTATGACTGATGGCAATATGGTCTATTTGAGTCCATTGTTGGTTTGGTGTAGGGGGTCGCCATGTTAGACGATGTCTCTCCTTATGCTTAAAATTTGTGTTTGCTAAAAATAAACGATTGTCTGAGCACAGTTGAATCCATACATTTCTGATCATTGTCTAAGTATGAGTGCGTTTACTGATTCAAATTTATTAATATGAGTGGTACAAAATGTTACTTCCTATTCCCAGTTTGTTGAAGAAAACATGCAATGGAGCAGGTATACTCGTTTTTTGTTTTCCCTTAAATCCTAGGTTTCTAAATTCTTTGTGATTTTTTCCAATTATTTTATTAATTTATATTTTCTTCTCGAATCGTACTTTCGATGCTTAATCTTTCTTATTACCACTGATACTGTTCTGAGATTTGGCCTAACAATTTCATCTCTCTTTGATAATGAAGTATGACAACTTGGTGTACACATGAGCCAGGTTCTACGCTGTGTTTGACTAACTGACAGGAATATATATCATCAGCTTTAAAACTACTAATGAGAAAGTTGTTAAGTGTTAAGTTTAGGCTAGATCCGCAAAACATTTTATTTCTAATCAATACATGAAAAGGAACTACAAATAATAGTTTTAATTTCTAAAATTTTAATAAAAAGTAGTTAACATTAAAATAATTAAATTACTCACTACGCTTTGAATCCATCAAACGTTCATCTACTCGACTGCCATAAAATCGACCGGGACCTGTAAAATGACTTATGTCGTGATACTCACTTTCTTTTTTGTTGTCCATATTATTGGATCTTCTAATATAACCAAACAGAACAGAATGAAAATAGTTTACATTTTAACTGCCTAACAACAAACTGATAAAAATAGTGTATAACTATGAATTAAACCTATTGTATTAACAAACTGCTAACTTAGGACAAACTGGGACTCAATACATCTTTTTTTGTATAAAGGGACCTGACAGAGATGCTTTTTTTAAACATATAAATAGAAAAGTCTCTGTATAATCAAACGCGATTAATTATAACTAGAATTGTTTAAATGTATAACTTGACTTTTAAAGCTATCATATATAACTAGAAGCGAAAATATACAATAGCTTATCAGGTATATCAGTCATTCACAACCAAACACAAAATACAGTACCCGTGAACAAATTACGACACACGAAGCTGCACTATAACCATGTTTATTAGTAAAGCTGATTCGATATGTTTCATACAAAAGTTCTCCCGAATTCTAATCTTCTGAATCCTTCATGTTCCTTTCTTTTTTTCTCTTTCCAAATTTATTTCACTAGATCATACTCCTTGAATAACATCTTCAAACCCTAATCTTTCCGATTACTGCTTGTACTTTTACTATCTCTACCACTACGGGATTTGAATCGACAATTGTATCTGTGTGTTAGTATGGTATGGCAACTCGAACTGATGTACGTACGTACGAAATTCCACATTGTAACTGACTAACTGACTGATACAAAAGTTCTGCAGCATTTCAAGGTGGCAAAACACATTATTTTTACGTTACGTATACAATACAACCAATTGACACGTCTACTGTTATTTGCACAAGTAAAACTTTATTACTGAATGCTGCATAAAATGATATATTAGGATAACGATGAGTAGAATAATAGTTACAACACACCGTGTATTTGAGGAGGAAATCGTGTCCACTAAACGTTTGTAAATCTGGACTTCATCCGCTTCAGTATTGTAAAACTTTAACTGTAAAAGAAAAAATGATTTAACGGGTTAAGATAACTGAAGTTTTTTCCAGTACGATTAGAGAAAAATGACAAAGAAATTGTGTACTACACTAACTTGACCTGCTTATCACGTGGTGGGAGACGATAAATACCATCTAAAATATTTACACGGCAGTTTTAGGAGCACAATAAATATTCGCTTTTAAATAGAATAGGAATTCACGTTCTTAAATAAATACCTAACATCCGGAAGTGAGAGTGGATAGATACTAACCCGAAAAAGTTTTATGATACACACATTATAGTTTGAAGATATTTGAGATTCAGCACCGTTACCATATATGTGTATTCTAATAGCTATAATGAGCAATAAACAAACCAGAATAGTTAGATACTGTATGCTGTATATGCACTACAGTTTTAGTATAAATTAAAATTGGTTCTTTCTTTCAAGTTTTTGCAGCCAAAAATCGACTATAAAAGATAAACAAGAGTGGTCGACGCTGAAAACCAGTTTCCGCGTTGTTGTTCAACTAATCAATGACACAAACCATTTCTGAAAGTTTCGCATTTGACTGTGAACAGTTTACATATTTTAATCCCCGTATACAAAATGTTGAGAAACCTGTCTTTACTTATGGAGTCTGAATACTCTAAGACAATGAAGATTTCTGAACAGGATTCAACATCCAGGAAACCGTAACTATCACCTCTCGAACCAAATTAATAACGGAGTCGGACACGAACTGAGAAAGAACACCTTCTGAATGTTTCTTTCGATGAAAACCTATGATCTACTGATAATACCTCGGTTTTCGCATGGGGCGCCTTCAGTAACATTATATATTCGCAGATTTATATTTTTAACATCGAACACCAACATGAGATTTTACGACAGACAAGGTCAAGAACTACTCTCCAGATAGCCAAATAATAAGTTTGTGTTTAGGGATCTATAGAAGTTTGATTTGTACTACATACCCATACATATATATGCTTATATCAGTTGACAGTTAGAAATAAAGAAACCCCCATAAAATCTAGGTAGCAGTACTCATATTCAGCTTGTGCTTGGACTTTCTCTGCTCGTGTTCGGCTGTTGTTTATTGCTGCCTTCTTGTTCTTCCTTTCTTTGATCTTGTCCAGAAAGGAAGAACAAGAAGGCAGCAATAAACAACAGCCGAACACGAGCAGAGAAAGTCCAAGCACAAGCTGAATACATAGAAGCAAACAAACAAGTGAAGAGGAGCATTAGAGCCGACAAGAAGAAATACGTGGAAGAACTAGCATCGACGGCAGAAAAAGCTGCTAGAGAAGGAAATATGAAACAGCTTTACGATACAAGGAAGAAACTATCAGGGAAATACAGTAAACCAGAGAGGCCGGTCAAATACAAAGAAGGCAAGCCTATCAGCGAAATTCAACAACAGCGTAACAGATGGGTAGAATACTTCGAGGAATTCCTGAATGGGCCGGCTCCAATGAATCCACCGGACATCGAAGCAGCACACATAGATCTTCCTATAGATGTCAATCCACCAACTACGGAAGAAATTAGAATGGCCGTCAGACAAATCAAGAACGGGAAAGCAGCAGGACCCGACAACATACCAGCTGAAGCACTGAAATCAGACATCGAAACAACCACAAGCATGCTTTATCTTCTATTCAAAAAGATTTGGGAGGAGGAACAAGTGCCAATGGACTGGAAAGAAGGACACCTCGTCAAGATTCCAAAGAAAGGAGATCTGAGCAAATGTGAGAACTACAGAGGCATTACACTACTGTCAATACCAGGGAAAGTCTTCAACAGAGTGTTGCTGAACCGGATGAAGGATGCAGTAGACGCCCAACTTCGAGATCAACAAGCTGGATTCCGTAAGGATCGGTCGTGCACAGACCAAATTGCAACACTAGGGATCATCGTCGAACAATCAGTTGAGTGGAACTCATCACTATACATCAACTTCATTGATTATGAAAAAGCATTCGACAGTGTAGATAGGAGGACATTATGGAAACTTCTTCGACACTACGGAGTTCCTGAGAAGATTGTCAATATTATCCGGAACTCATACGACGGACTACAGTGCAAAGTAGTGCATGGAGGACAGCTGACAGATGCATTCCAAGTAAGGACCGGAGTCAGACAAGGCTGTTTACTCTCTCCCTTCCTCTTTCGTCTGGTGGTCGACTGGATTATGAAGACCTCAACATCTGAAGGAAAGCACGGAATACAATGGACAGCTCAGAATCAGTTAGACGATTTGGACTTCGCAGATGACCTAGCCCTCCTATCACGTACACACGAACAGATGCAGATGAAGACAGCCAGTGTAGCAGCAGTCTCTGCATCAGTAGGCCTCAGCATACACAAAGGGAAAACTAAGGTCCTCAAATTCAAAGCGGAGAACAGCAATCCAATCACTTTTGATGGCGAAATTCTGGAAGATGTAGAGTCCTTCACATACCTGGGAAGCATCATCGATGAACAAGGAGGATCCGATGCAGACTTGAAGGCGAGGATTGGCAAAGCAAGGGTCGCATTCCTACAATTGAAGAACATATGGAACTCAAAACAACTTTCAACCAATATCAAAGTCAAAATCTTCAATACGAACGTCAAGGAAGTTCTACTGTATGGAGCTGAAACTTGGAGAACTACAACAACCACCATCAAGAAGGCACAAGTATTTATAAATAGCTGTCTTCGCAAGATACTCAACATCCATTGGCCGGATACCATCAGCAACAGCCTTCTGTGGGAGAGAACAAACCAACTTCCAGCTGAAGAAGAAATTAGGAAAAGACGATGGAAATGGATAGGACATACATTACGCAAATCGTCGAACTGCATCACGAGGCAAGCCCTAACTTGGAATCCTGAAGGGAAGCGAAAAAGAGGAAGGCCAAAGAACACATTGCGTCGGATAATAGAAGCAGATATAAAAACGATGAATTACAACTGGACGGAGCTAGAAAGTATTGCCCAGAACAGGGTTGGATGGAGAATGCTGGTGAGCGGCCTATGCTCCTTCATGAGGAGTAACAGGCATAAGTACTCATATTCAAGAATATATTTGTATTTAAACCCAGTAGGCGAAAAGATGAAAAACCAATACGTGGTTTTCACATCATCTAAATAAATTTTAAATTTAAAAACAACCTTGTTAAACTAGAACAGTTCTGATATAACTGATAAAATTCTAACACAAAAAGTAGTTTCGATTGATTCCAAAAAATGTAATTGAAGTTTGAGTAATTTCACCTAGTAAGCAAAGAATTAGTTGTACGAAGTAGTCAGAATCTCCGCTATACTATATAGAACAATCAGCAAAGATGAGGCTACCATTATATATATATATATATATATATATATATATACTTTTATTTAAACTAACTTTTCGCAACAAACTGAATTATGGCTGAAAAGATCGTTGACACTAAGTATTTTTAACATGTTTGTATTATATGTATGATTATCTTTATTTTAAAGTCATATAAAAGCACATATCAAACAATGTTTGTTTATATGTTGTTGTTATAACTCTGTTTCTTACGGTTAATGACCCAGCTATTCCTATTGCTTAGTATTCTCGGACACCGATTCACTCGACAAGTCCCCAAATCAGAACACGGTTGAACCGGAAAAAGATTATATTTCAAATAGCAAGTCAGAAGCCAGTAGGAAGCACAATAGAGGAAAACGTCGGTATATTTATAGTTTTTACATAAGAAGATCCCAGAATATTCTCCGACTATCGACTAGTGCTGATTGGATAAGAATCAGCCAATCAGCGTGCACCAAAACAATCATGCATTGATCATGCTTTAATCTAGTCTATGTCCCGCTAACACCTCCCCTCTGATCAGATGCGTAGGATCTGGTGCTAGGGTCCAACTGCAACTGAGTGACTGGCTTGTGCTTTCGATTAGTCCATCGTCTAGGCAATGAAGAATTATCACTTTTTCCTTGCACAGAGACTGACATGTCTGTTCCCGGCGTTCTGATTTTTCTTAAGAAAAAGTATGCATAACTTTTAATTCTCCAACATTCTCCTCCTCCGCGAAACAATGTCGGATCCTTATATCTCCACGTTACAAATAATAGGACTTTATTTAAACGACGTTTCTCGCATTGAATGTCGGATCCACTAGAAACGACTAGATGATAATGAACGACCTTTGATTTGAGGTCAAAGTTTAATTCTTCTGAAGCACTACTTTTAAATCCATTAGGAATTTCATCAGTGGATAATGGATCATTACGGAAATCATCATCTAACAGAATTAGATTAGACTTTTGACCATAATTTGACTCAGCTGATATATTTTCCTGATTTTTATGAGAAATTTCATCAACATAACATGCATTGTTCTGAGAACCCATGTCTGATACATTGTCATTAGAAATCGGATAAGCTGATTCAATATAAGTTTCTGTCTCACAATGATTTTGAGTAACATTCGGTATAATTGGGTTCGTTGTGTCACTGCAGTTATTTTCTGAATACGAGTCCCCATAGTTTTCTTGGCTAATATCACGTGGACCATAAATTTGTTCTAGCTGAAAGTTATTTTCAGAGCTAGACAGGACCAGTAGCGCTTCATTCAATTCTGGACTCCGGGCTTCATCTACAGGGTCTGGCTCTTGATCATTTCGTATTGCCACAACTTTATGAGCATTCAGCACAGGATTTTCTTGCTGTGAGCCGGAAACGTTACAAATATTACGTTCTGATTCAGGTATAAAGGGATTTGAACCCTCCACTAGATATGCTTTTTCTGGTCGAGTGAAAAGTGTGTTCAATAGTTGTTGTTGCAAGGCTAACAACTTCTGCTGGTGCTGTAATAGTAACCGCAACTGTTCTAAAGAAATCGCCATTTTTCTTTAGTTTTTCCCCGTCGCCACTGTTATAATCCTGTTTTCTTTGGACGGTTAATGACCCAGCTATTCCTATTGCTTAGTATTCTCGGACACCGATTCACTCGACAAGTCCCCAAATCAGAACACGGTTGAACCGGAAAAAGATTATATTTCAAATAGCAAGTCAGAAGCCAGTAGGAAGCACAATAGAGGAAAACGTCGGTATATTTATAGTTTTTACATAAGAAGATTCCAGAATATTCTCCGACTATCGACTAGTGCTGATTGGATAAGAATCAGCCAATCAGCGTGCACCAAAACAATCATGCATTGATCATGCTTTAATCTAGTCTATGTCCCGCTAACAGTTGTGTACGCTTTTTCCTAAGTTAAACAAAGCTCACTCTGGAAACCAGTTTTATTTACCCATTTTTGAATAAGATGACGCACCACTGAATTACAATTTGTCGCTTTGTAATAGTCGTGTCAAATTCGTTCTTGTATTATTAACATCTCACGAATTCTTAACACAGACACAAAGCAACAAAAGTTGACATGAGGTTATAATAACTGAATTAGCTCTAATCAACAATGACTGTGAAATCGCTATAGACAATAACTGGTTGCGCGAACCCTCGGGTTATGCATCAGACGCTTGCAGATTTTACAATGTTTTTTCTTATTCATTATATAACGAACCAGTGATGTAGAAAGAATAGGGAACAAACTTATTATTTTTTGATTACATGACACGAAATTAAATATATACTACAATAGTATTAAAGCATCTTACTTATGATAACATAAAGCAATCTAAAAAAACACTTACTCCAGGACGATCAAATACAGGTTTGTAACCTTCATTGGGACGACGTGGGATTACAATGTGACTATGACGAAAATCAAATGTCACAGGTTTTTCATGTGTTGATAAGTCCATATCTATCAAGAATAAAATATTTTTTTAAATAGATAACTATTATTGAAATAATAAATACTTGTGAAATAAAACCAAATTCGTTAAGGAGTCAGAAGAATACTAATAGTTTAAAAACATAAACTGCTAAGCAATTTCTGGCAATAAATAGTGATCTTGAGTGCTGTTACGGTTATGAAAGCAGTTATCACTTCCCGGTTGCCCACACCGTGGAAGGGTTCTTCTAGAGGTACCCAAAAATGAAATCGGGTTAGGGTTGGTCTTAGTGACCTGATAGCGTGACCGCAGTGCCCGAGAGACAAGCGCTAGAGATCGGTCACACACGACCATTTTGTGGGTAATTTTTGTGTTAGCTCCATACATGTTAAGAACTTACTTCCGGAGACGGATATATGTAAGATAAAGTGAGATGTGCATTTTTAGGGTCGACCTTTTCTAATCCCATCCTTCCTTTGTGGGAGTGCAGCATCGCTATTATGCTGGTTGTCTAAAGGAAACACCATACTGCTAGTACAGTTAGCAGTACAACTTCGCCCTCGGACCTTGGTTTTGCCGCCTTTAGTCCTACCGCTCTTTAACCAACATGTCTAGCATGGTAGGACCCTGAGGAACGACTGTTTCAGCCAATATAGCCCGATTGGTTTATCACAATAGGGAAACCTGGCCGCCACGCCAAGGTAGCAGTAACGGTCGGGTGGCAATAACTAATACTGTTAATGACTCAATGTGTCATTGTGACTTCAAAGATTAGAAGTTTATGTTAATAATAATAATAATAATAATAATAATAATAATAATAATAATAATAATAATAATAATAATAATAATAATAATAATAATAATAATAATAATAATAATAATAATAATAATAATAATAATAATAATAATAATAATAATAATAATAATAATAATAATAATAATAATAATAATAATAATAATAATAATAATAATAATAATAATAATAATAATAATAATAATAATAATAATAATAATAATAATAATAATAATAATAATAATAATAATAATAATAATAATAATAATAATAATAATAATAATAATAATAATAATAATAATAATAATAATAATAATAATAATAATAATAATAATAATAATAATAATAATAATAATAATAATAATAATAATAATAATAATAATAATAATAATAATAATAATAATAATAATAATAATAATAATAATAATAATAATAATAATAATAATAATAATAATAATAATAATAATAATAATAATAATAATAATAATAATAATAATAATAATAATAATAATAATAATAATAATAATAATAATAATAATAATAATAATAATAATAATAATAATAATAATAATAATAATAATAATAATAATAATAATAATAATAATAATAATAATAATAATAATAATAATAATAATAATAATAATAATAATAATAATAATAATAATAATAATAATAATAATAATAATAATAATAATAATAACAATAATAATAATAATAATAATAATAAAGCATAGATTGCATGTTCGTTGCATTAAATTAAATCAAACAAATAACGTGGTAGGAGCAGTAGTAATTGTGGTGAAAAATGACTTAGTCATCTAGTGGCATAATCTGTAAATCCATGGATTGTGTATAAATATATTCTCCCTCTCTGTCTAGAAATTCCAATCGTGCATAGCACGTCATGTTACTAGAAATCGATTAAGTTATCAACCGACAGACTCTTAAAACAATGAAACATTTTCATCAATCAGAGATTTGTGCATTGGGAATAACATAATTTGTGTTGCTTAGGGACGACGTAGTGATGTGGAGATCTGTTAATAAAATATTACGGATTATTTGTAGTCTGCAAGACTTTTTCCGCCTATAGACATTAACAAATAGTATTGAAAAAGAAATTGAAAGTAAAATCAGTTTTCCTGCATCATTGAATAGATAGAAGAGCTTGAAATCAACTAGTTTTCTTTTAGCAATGAGATTAACCGAGGTCTTAGGTAGAATTTGGGAACTGGACGTAATCCCATCTGACTGGTCTGAATCAATGATTGTGCCAGTCTATAAGAAAGGACAAAAGTCCTCTTGTGACAATCACAGAGGAATCAGTTTGACTAATATAGTGTCTAAAATATTAGCTTCAATAATACTTCGACGCCTAATCAAAGCTCGTGAAGAGCAGATTAGAGAAAATCAGGCCGGTTTTCGACCTGGACGTGGTTGTATAGATCAGATATTCACACCACGTCAGGTTCTAGAACACAGACACACATTCAGACGCCCCACAATGGTAGTATTTCTCGACCTTAAGGCGGCATTCGACTCTGTTGATCGTGAGGTTCTATGGCACTGTTTGCCACTGAAAGGAGTACCAAAGAAGAACATTAACCTTATAAAGGCTCTTTACTCGAACACAACTGGTAGTGAGAGCTTATGGAGTACTGTCATCAGAATTGATTACCTCAAGTGGTGTTCGTCAGGGTTCTCCACTCTCTCCATTTTTGTTTAACTTTGTCGTCGACGTGCTTTTAGAGATGACACTTTCCTCGTCTAGATTTCCAGGGGTTGAACTTCTACCGGGAGATTCACTTGTTGACTTGGAATATGCAGATGACATAGTTTTATTTGGTGAAGACGCTGACAAAATGCTGTCGTCTGACCACTCTAAGTAACAATGCAAGCATGTTCGGTATGCAATTCTCCCCCTCGAAATGCAAAATGTTGCTGTCGATTTTTACCGTGCTAATTGTTGTGTCCTTGACTGGAAAATTAGAGAGCAGTGTACTTATCGATCGGTTACAGTGACACGTAAACACGAACGGACGGCCTAGTCTCGATTGGTCTCGCTTCCCTGTCTAGCCCAGTCAATTGAGTCCAGAACACAAGCCACAGCCTCGGAGATATGAATCATTATATTTCAAACATACTCTATTTATATACTAACCAAGCATACCACATCGTACCATAAAAATAGAAAACAACATTTTGTACAATACTCAACAAGTGAACATATATCGACCAAAAGGGAATGTCCTTTTAGAGTCCAAGGACACCATTGGACTTAACATGATAATTATTGGTCTACTCCTCCGCATTCACAACAGTTGCTTCAGGATTGGGTTGCATTGACACCCGAACTAATGATAGGGAGTGAAGTAATTGAGCGTGTCGACCGCTTCACTTATCTTGGAAGTCTCATCAGCCCTTGTAGTCTGGTGTGTGACGAAATCTCAGCACGGATACAGAAGGCTCGACTAGCTTTTACCAACTTGCGTCATTTATGGCGTAGGCGAGATATCCGTCTATCAACCAAAGGACGTGTTTACTGCGCAGCAGTTCGTCCCGTCCTACTTTATGGCAGTGAAACATGGCAGGTAAGAGTAGAGGATATCCGTAGGTTACTAGTATTTGATCATAGATGTCTTCGAAATATTGCTACTATATCGTGGGACCATCGAGCAAGTAATGCAGTTGTTAGGAAACGGGTACTAGGTAAGGATGGCAAATCAATTGATGAAGTAGTGAAACTTCATCAGTTGAGATGGCTGGGACACGTGTTACGCATGCCCAACGACCGACTGCCTCGACGTGCGATGTTCAGTGTTATAGGAGTAGGTTGGAAGAAAGCTAGGGGCGGCCAAACCAAAACATGGCACAAGTCCATGAAGTCACTGACAAGTGAACTGAGTCATGTTGGTAGGTGTAGACTACTTGGTTGGGGACCGCGAGATGATAGCAACCGATGGTTAGAGACCCTGAATGACATGGCTCAAAATCGTTTGCAATGGCGCAGGTGCATCCACTCTCTGTGTTCTCCCAAATTCTAATCTTCTGAATTCTTCATGTCCCTTTTTTCTCTTTCCAAATTTATTTCACTGGATTATACTCTTTAAATAACATCTCCAAACCCTAATCTTCCCGATTACTGCTTATACTCTTATTGCCTCTACCACTACGGGATTTGAATCGGCCACTGCATCTCTATGCTAATGTGGTGTGGCAACTCGAACTGATGTACGTACGTACGAAGTTCTACGTTGTTACTGACTGAAATGGAACAAGTCAGTCAGTCAAACACAGAGTAGAACCTGGCTCATGTGTACTCCGGTTCAATTTGTCATACGTCATTAGCACGAAGATGCGCTCATGTGTTAACCACAAAGAATGGATGCACCTGAGTTGTTCCACACAATTTTGAGTCATGTCATTCAAAGTCTCTAACCACTGGTTACGATAATCACGTGGACCCTAATCAGGTAGTCTACACTTATTTACATTACCAAGTACAATCGTCAGTGATTTCATGGACTAGTGCCATGTTTTGGTTTGACAGTACCTAGCTCTCTTCCAGCCTGCGCCTCCACTAGAAAACATCGCCCGTCGAGGTAGGCAGTGGTGGGATATACGTAACACTTCTCAACCACCTCAGTTAATGAGGATGTGCTACTTCTTCAGTCGATCTGTCATCCTTAACTAGCGCCCTTTTCCTAACCGCGGCATCGCTTAATCCGTGGATCCGAAATACATTAGTAATCTTTTGTAGATACCTATTATCGAATACCAGTAACCTACGTATACCATCTACTCTTAATGATCACGTTTCATATCCATAAAGTAGAACGGAGTGAACTGCTGCGCATTAAATCCGTCGTTTATTTGGACGACTGATGCCTCGCCTAAGTCACAAGTTAGCAAAAGTCAACTGAGACTTCTAAATCCGTGCCGAGATTTCGTCAAACATCAGACCATCAAGACTGAGACTTCCAATATAAGTGAAGCGGTCAATGCGTTCAAATACTTCACTCTCTAATAATACTACCTGACCGATCAAACCTCGGTAACACATGAGTTACAGATTATATGTCTGGACAAGTGTTTTACAGATTCATCATCGAATTTTAAGTAGGGAAATCTTCACAATAAAAGATTATACTCTTTATTTTGAAGTAAAGTTAATGTATTAGATGAAGAAAATTATTACCAGGATTTTATTACATTTTCATTTTCTCAAAATTATGAATCGATCGGATGAAAACTCTATTACGAAAAAACCCGTCAAAAACAATTTCTAGTCATATAGTTGATATCAGGAGACAAAAACTTACTAAGAGGAAATGTTCGCTCTATGACAATTGAAATTTCTTTAGCCTGACGCATAAGAGTTGCTGGGGGGAGCTTTGTATTATTGGTAAGTATAAGATGTGGAAGACGATGGTTATCTCCAAAACGACCATACCTGCGTTTATTGTATACAGCCGTCCCTGAATTTGTCAGACGAGTGAAACGTTCTGTTAAAGATATAGGAGAATGTGAATCACGTGCAGTGCTTCGTACACCTTCAGTCTGAAAGTCCGCGATTGGATTAACACTTGATTGTATTTCAGGTTTTCTAAGCCTTGAAAACTTCGACTCTAAAGAAAATAATGAGATAGACCTAGTAAATGTTAAATTCTTACTTCGCTCAGCAGGACTTAAAGAACGTCGAGGACTGTAGTCAAGATTTTTTGAATGTGACCTCTGTCGATTTCTGAAAGATATGAAAACGGTGGATGAAATAATGAGTAACTTTGGGATTTAAAAATGCTGGATCTACATACATTAAACTACTCCATTTTACTTAACTATCACTTTTTTCAATGATGACTCCACTTTCATAATTTTCTGGAAATAAGTATGGGAAAATTATTTTCGGATGTAAATTGAGGTCTGCATTAATCAACAAGCGGCGATACTAATAGGTTGTTCAGATTTAAATAAAGGTTGATTTTGGGCTTAAATCCATGCGAAAGGTAAACAAATGTTTATATAAATAAGAAAGAAATCGCCAGAAAAAATCAAGAAACAGCATATGGCTTATCTAGAGTGAATACCAGTAGTTAACGAAAATAAATTGGCTGATACACTACAAAAATGACAATTGTTTTTCTAGATAAAAAGCTTTAAAATGAAGTGAGTTCACAGAGACTGAACGAGAAGAGGGAGAGAAACAGCTATGAGTAGAACGATAAATTAGCACATGAAAACAGTGACAAATGAATATAATAGAGGATCCGTCTGAACTAAGGGACACTATTCAGCGCATTATGCATCTCACACTACTTATAAATACTACGTACTCTGTCCCAAAATGGAGAAAACCATACAAACAAAAAATATTTCAAACCAATAAGTAGATTAAATACACTATTGATGCAAAAAGTCAGGTTATTTAGCGACCACATACCTTTCTTTCAACGAAGAACTGAACTTAGAGCGTTCATTGGATCTAAAACGAAATAACGATGTTTTGTAATAGTTGGGCATTATTAATAAAATGTTAATTTTAATAGAATTAGTTTTCATAAAAATCAAATTTTGGTAACGTTATTCTTATTAGTATTTGACCACAGTTGGTTTTGAAGCAGTGTTCGCGCATGCTAGGACTATGGATGAACTGAGGTTAGGTAAAAATGTCAAGTCGGTTGATAAGGTTTTGAACCTTCATTAAGTGAGGTGGGTAAGACATGTGTTACATATTCCTAGAGATCGCCTGCATCGATGGACACTGTTGGCTGGCATAGGATTAAGTTAGAAAGATAGGGGTGGCCAAGTCAAAATTTGGCATCAGTTTATGAAGTCATTGACTATTGAACTGAGTCATGTAAGCGGGTACGGACTGCATACTTGGTAAGGGACCGCATGAGTTTTGTAACGATGATTAGAGACTTTGGGTCACATGGCCCGGAGTCATCCACTCTTTATTTTGCTCTGGATCTTATGTTATTCCTTCAAACATATCTTTTATTTCTTGTTGAACCATATTCCCAGGATCTAATCATTTTAATCAGTGCAACTAAATTATCTTAACTCCTTTACTGTCCGTTATGTTAGTTTTATCTCCTTGTGATATCGTGTTGCGATAACTTGGGTCAACACACATTTGGGCCAGGTCGTACGTTGATTATGACTAGCTGAAAATAAGTTTTATGCAAGCAACTATCACAAACTAACCATTTTTGGTGACAATGTATATTGTTAATAAAAATAAGACAGTATATATATATCAGTAATGAAACGTGGTTCACCAGCAAAAACATAATGTGGAGCCACGACGAAAAATTAATTGAGAAATGCTTCTTTGTCATATTTGTACTTTTTCAAAGAGTATGACAGGAACGTTTGGGCAAGGAATTTCGAGGCACAAAATAGAGTTTACAGATCATTTTGGACAGCATGTAATAATAAAATTCAAATTTATTACCTCGATTGTTTAATTTCTATACTAAACGTAAGAGTTGGTCATTGTTTTACTGTGAATAAGTTCTCATTACACTAAAAAGATAAAGCGTGACCCAGAAGCGCTTACATGATAGAAAATTTATTAAGTACACCTAGTTCCTAATGTTATTTATCTATTAACAACAATACAGAGAGTTGAATCAATTTTATTCCAAACATCTGGAGTTTTACTTGATTCTCGGCCTTAACCATCGCGCTAGAAATCTATCAGAGAGGAAACGGATTTCCACAAAATATACAATGGAATCATGATTATTTGACGTGCGATCAACTTTAGAACACTTCGTTAAGACAGAAGGTGCGTGGTTGAAAAAGTAATTATTAAAGCTATTTGTAAAATTAGTTCAAACGCATTCCACTAGACAATTCTACTTATTCTTATTAAACGAAGCGTAATTACAGATAGATGAATGTGAGCATAATGCACACCGGATAGAAATAATCAAGAAACTCAAGTATATCTTACTGACTTACTAACAAAACTCTGGGTAGAAGCTTGTCATAAGCAGTTACAACCCACGATTTAATTAAAAGGACCCAGCAGGAGAAAAATTAAATAAGAAAATTCTCAACATTTCATTAGCGAAAAATATTACTGACCTGGACCGGTTTTTTCGTCTTGGTGTATAGAATCCTGATGACCTGGAACGGGAACGTGATGAGTATGAGCGCTTCCTGTTAATCATTGTTTAAACCTAAGCATCTTCCAGGAAAAAAAGATCTGATCAATTTAGAAAATTAAACAGTGAGCATAACCTGTTATTTAATGACTATGAATTTAATGCTTGTGCTTTGATTATAATTGAAAATTTACACCATTATCCACAATAATGAGATGTCTAGGGCTTGTAAATTGTATCAAAACACAAATTATTGTTTCATATAGCGAGCTTAATGCAAGTGAACATACTGGACAGACTTTTGCACTGAAAATGCCACTAGATCCTAATGCTTGAAATTAATTGGTACATGGTGCATACAAATATAGAGGGGAACTGAACAGAAATCACAAAATGATTTGGAAGACCTTACCAATAAACGGAACTGTAAAGTTCGAGATACAACACAATAAAGATCTTCGGCGCTTAAATAATAGCTACAACTGAATAACGCACCTCAAAACGCCCTGATACAGCTGAGTGTGCGGAGAGCTCGCTCTGTTTCAGAATGCTCTCATATCGCCTCAAGTATATTGCCACTGAAGTCCTACTCATTGCATTCTCGCGGCGTTATTGTTTACGGAAATAAAAGGACAAAAAGCGATTGTCTGGCGGTTTAACTGGCTTGGTGGATACGGAGGATCTACCTAGGGGATTTGGAAAGCTGATTCCATACCAGTGGTGCACATGAAGTCCAAGATCCTGGAGGAACAAATGGGGTGCGAACCTATTGTTATTCACCGGTTACAATGAGGCTACATCTCCTAACGCTGTTCCACTGCCTTGTGGATTAGACCTTTAAGTAAAAAACTCAATGCATGGCCCTTTAAGAAAACTACCAGCTTCAGTTTGGTCATTCGGGTAGTATTCCAGCCCATAAATAAATTAAATGACTAATATTGTAATAATTATTCTTGCTTCAACGCTCATTAGGACAAGTCGTATTCACAATCATTTGATAACACCCATTTTTCTTTCTTCTATACTACGTCACTTATCTTCCCCCCTTTTATTTATTTTATTTACAACTTATACAGAGGCTCGCCTATGGTGGAAGCCCTGTCCTATCTAAACGATTCCAAGCCACTGACTGATGGAAAAATGAATGCTACCGTCGAATACTGAAACAGTCCATCTAAAACTACGTATACCATTCAAACTGGGCTCCTTCAACGTCCGCACACTAATGCAGATCGGACAACAGGAAGGGCTGGTAATGTCTTTAGGAAGTCTCAACATCGGTGTCTGTTGCCTATCCGAGAACCGTATTCAAGATTATAGTGAACTGCAAAAAATTCGCTCCCCATTTGTCGCTCCAAAAGGCTTGTTTTACGTGCGTTTATCCGGGGACCCTGTGGCACCTTTGTCTGGTCTTGCTAGAGTTAAGGCAACACTGATCGACTGAACCGCATTAACAGTCGGTTATTTGCTGTTAGATTAGAAAGCTCCATTGAGGTGAGGGGAAATTGGCGTGAGAAACGTCATTTTGCAATCTCCGCCTACGCTCCAAAAGATTGAGGTCCAGATGCGATCAAGGATGTCTTACCACCAGTTAACTGTTCTTTTAGAGAACGTACGTTCGACAGATATTGTAGTACCAGTCGGAGACTTGAATGCTTAGATCGGGTGTCTAGGCACAGAAGAGAGTCATCTAGGTAGCTGATGACGACTTGTTGGTCGCAGGTCAGATAACAGTGACTATCTACTGCAACTTTGCGCAGACTACAACCTGTTTCTGGATAGCAGTAACTACCAGCAAAGTCATCGCCGATGTGCCACCTGGCGTCCTCCCTCTGCATCTCAAGCCCGGACTCAGTTTGGTCACATCAAGACCAGCTAACGCAGACGTGATTGTCTACAAAACTGTCGTTCCTATGAATACCTGTCTGGACTCTGATCGTCCCCTTATTTGCGCTAATCTTACCTTAAGTTTCAGTGGCCAACAAATCCATCATCATAAACGGATCGATACCAGTAAATTGGTTGCAGCTTCTCTTGCGACTAAATATCAAAACGAGCTAGGTTCAACGCTAGCTACCAGCCAACCGAACAGCATAAACGGGAATTGGCTGTTGTTGCATGACGTGATGAAAATGGCGAGTGAAGTCGCCTGCAGCTTTGCGAAATGTCCAGCTTATAAGCACTAGGTTTCTATAGGTTCCTTACAACTCACCATCCCTCTACAACTTTGCCATCGATCACATTCTCGAAACAGCTCTGATGACTGTAGATAATGTAGGTGTGGATCTGTTTCCTGGAGAAACCTTTCGACCTTGAATATGAGGATGATATTGTCTTACTGTGTTATAATACCCAAGCCGTGCAATCCACACTTAGTCAGCAGGCAATCAGTGTCCGTAGGTATAGTATGTGCTTTGAGCCTTACAGGTGCAAAGTAGTTCTACAGGACTGGAAAAACCCTGAACCTGCACTCACACTGAGTAGTGGGCAGGTAGTAGTCAAGAGGTCTGAGTATTTGGGTAGCTGCATAAGTGCTGGTGGTGGCGTGAGTGATGAGATCGACTCACGTATAGTGAGGGCCAGAGCGGCTCATGCCAATCTGGTTCATCTTTGGCACCTTCGTGGTGTTAGTCTGGCTGTAAAAGGTCGGATCTACAACGCGTTGGTGAGAGCAGGTTTGCTCTATGCTTGTGAAACCTGGCCTCTCTGAGTTGAGAATGTTAAACGATTCTCTGTGTTTCACCATCGTTGTCTCTGAGGGATTGCTGACATACAGTGGCAACACCATGTTAGTAATACACAGGTTCGGAATCGTGTGTTCAGGCACAGCGACAATAATCCAATTGCTTTCACCATTTTCAAACATCGACGTCGGTGGCCTGGACATGCCTTACGAATGTCGTCCCAGTAAATCTCACGTCGTCCATTATTTGTCGACACTGGGACTGGTTAGAAATAGAGGAGAGGTGGTCAGAGTATGACATGATGTCATGGTATAAAAGAAAACTGTACAGAACTGGTTTCTGTTGGTCCTTCACTACTCCATAGTTGGGACCCAAGAGATGGTGCAACACGGTGGCTAGAGATGTTATCAGATATGACTCAGAATAGAAACCAGTGGCGATCCTGCTGTGGTTTCTACTTTTTTCATAAAAGTGAACGTAACTTCTTTAATTGAAACCCATCTGGTTGCGTTTTTCCAAAATGAACTGCTCCCATTATTATTATTCACTTTCATACACTAGCTTCTGTTCATTGTTGCTCTACTTTTTACCACACTTTTCATTCTCTATCTCTTCACAACCTCATTGTGATTGTGTGGCGCATACGTATTTGATGCCCCATTGTACTAATGTTCATGTGTTTAAATAAATAAACGAGATGAACCGCATCATTAGAATCGAAACCAAATAATAAAAAAATTAGATAAACTCATTAACCAGGTACTGGGGCATGAACTACGCTCCAGGTATGGGGGCTAAGGACGCTATCGGACTCCCTAGACCGAAATAGATCGGGTTGGAATCGAACTTTGGACACCTTAGCCACTAGGCAACTGCTCTACCATGAAACAAAGTATTATTCAAATGAAGTTTAGAACACAGATTGAAAAACGAAATGATGGGACAAATGCGCCACAAAAATTAGAAAAGACCTAAATCCTGGTATGCTATTTATAGAAAACTATAGACTGAGACATGAATGCTTGCCTACAATCAATTCCTTTGGCTCAAATACAGTAACCACACAATCTTGAAATCAGCGATAAAAATACGAAATGTTCATAAATTAGGCAGTCAACAAAATCTAGTTGGAAGCAAAAATTCGAAACCCCTTTCAGTAGTACCAGACTTCCTAGCTAGTTAACCCGATTTGTTTTAAAATGTATTAGTAATACTTAAGAAAACATAAATCATCAGACCAATAGCTAGCAAATATCAAACAAAAACACCATACATCGTGGTAATGAGGTATTACAAACAAAAGCGAACAACGTATTAAACGTATGTATTTGCCAAAACATTATTTGAGGCATATAATGATACCAAATAATAATTTCAAGAAAACTAAGATGACTTCGTGCGTAGGAGGAATGATATGTATTAATTGAATTGAACAAAATGGAAGGAATGCAGTATCACGCAGTCAGAAACGATAATCGGTTTAACAATCTGACTCCAGTCAGCCAAAAATAAATGACTGCTATTAGTAAGCGCTAAGAAGTGGACGGGAGCACTTTTGATTGAGGTTTGATGTAGAACAGATATCACAGTGGGTTTCACGACGACTCCTCAGAGTAGAGTTCGATCCACGACAGCTTAACAGTACTGGTGTAGATGGGACTAAACTCCCCAGAAAGGAGGATGATGGTCGACTGTATGAGAAGCAGAGTGGACGAGAACGACCAGCAGCAACAGATGCGCTGCGAACATATACTGACGTTGGATAAGACGGATATTTTTGGACATATTCCGAAACCCACGAATATTTTGGCTTCCAGTCAATATTGTTATTTGAGCGAGAATATGAAGCACCCAACCCAGATGGTTGCGGCATACTGCTAACTCTAGTTGATTTGTGGAGTGTAGGAACGGGTTTTTCAGTTTTACTTAGTTCAATTGCCTCACTTTTCACAATACACTGTTTTGGCCCACACATTTTGGAAGATACTTTGGAGTTTACAGTATTCGTATTCGTAAAATTAATCAGCCTTTCTTTACGGCGAGCCTCAGCACGTATAGCAGAAGGATAAACCTGGCAAAAAAGTAAATAAAATTAGTACTTATAGGTATTTAACATCGGCTATTGTACTTCCTGCTTTTGCTGTCCAAACTTATACATATTTCATCAAGATTCTACACTACCTAAATCATTTACTGCAAAATAATTAACCGGCATGCAAACTGATGAACATAGTAAAAGAATTATAATGACCACATTTTGCACATAAATGACGAGGTGGCAGTCCTTGTAAGACTAATTTGCCAACTACTTCCGTGATATTTTAGTATTCGCATAAAGTTTCCCCACCTACGTATACACGGCTGGAAGGCAATACCCAAGAT